ACCGTATTATACAAATCTATCAATTTCTGGTAATTTCTGAGATGAGGGGAGTGAGGTGACTTATTTCCTCCCATCTGGAAGGAAGGATTTCTGGTTTTTGTTATCAGTATGGTGCTGGAGAGATCTTTGGGAAGATACCACCAGAGAAATTATACCTTCAGAAAAAAGAAAAGATACAAGAAATAAGGTGTCCCTCCGGATTTTACTACAGGGGGGAGTATTAACCTCTGTTTCAAGGCCATTGAGCTGGCCAAAGGCATTTCCGTGGTCACATGGCAAGAGCAGTTGTGGGATTCAAATTTTTTTACTATTGGTTCTGTGGGCGTGGCAGGGAAGGATACTGCAAAATCTCCATTCCCTCCCCACTCCTGGGGGAAAGTTACTGCAAAATCTCCATTCCCTCCCCACCCCACTAGCCTGCTTTCCAGCTCCGTTCTCCTGTGCAGGACAACCAAAGAAGACCCCGCCAATCAGCTGGAACTCGGGAGGCAGAGAATAGATGTGGGCGGGGCCAGCCAGAGGTGGTATTCGCCGATTCTCTGAATTACTCAAAATTTCCGCTACCAGTTCTCCAGAACTGGCCAGAACCTGCTGAATACCATCTCTGGGCCAGCATGATGTCATGGCGCGCTGTTGCCTTGATAGTGGAACCTATTTAGCTACTCGCATTTGCATGCTTTCAAACTGCTAGGTTGGCAGGAGCTGAGGAGAGGTAGGGAGCTCAACCCATCGGGTAGCGCTCGGATCTCGAACCTGAGCTGCCAACTTTAAGCCCAGTATCTTAACCGTTGAGACACCAGGCTCTCCCTCCAAATAATAAGGATTCTCTGAAAATAAAATACAGGTATTCCTTGATTGATAACCATTCGTTAAGTTACAGTGGCACTGGGGGGGGGGGGGGGAAGACTTATAACTCGTCTTTGCACTTACAACTGCCGATTGCCAAGCACCCAAATTTTGATCATGTGACTCTCCATAGTCACATGATCAAAATTTGGGTGCTTGGCAACCGGCAGGTATTTTTGTCAATTACAGCATCCTGGGTGTCACATGCTCACCCTTTGGGACGTTCCCAGCGAGTTTCTCACCAGCAAAATCAACGGGGAAAGCCAGATTCACTTAATAACTTAATGATTCACTTAACAACTGCAGTCATCTGCAGTAAAAAAAAAAGACAGGTTGTAAAATGAGGTACGGCTCACTTACCTTGCTTTGGCATGGAAATTTCTGGTTCCAACTATGGTCTTAAGTCAAGGACCACCTGCGTCTTGTTGTCTACATCAGGTGTGTCAAACTCAAGGCCTGGGGGCCAGATACAGCCCAAGGGATGGTTAGATGTGGCCCGCAGAGCTGCCCTGCAAACAGGTGGCCCGCGGTGCCTCTGCCAGTGAAAACAGAGTTCGGGAGCCCATTTTTGCTGGCAGAACGCTCGGGCCACCAAGGGTGCGCCTGACACGAGTGATGTTGAGCTGGCCCCGCCCACCCAGCCACACACACCCTGCCCCCCCCGATGTCAAATACAACCCTGATGCAGCCCTCAATGGAATCGAGTTTGACACCCCTGCTCCACATTCATCTTGCTAACACAAATTAATAAGCAAGAGCAACCGCTGTCATTACCCCCTATTGACAATACAAAAAATGTTTTCAACAGCACCATTTTTTAAAGCACCGCCCTCGGCACACTCCGCATTCAAAAAGTATTTTATCAGCTACAAACCAATATACATCAAACACTGAAGTGCTTAGCCTGTATGGAATACCATTACATCTAATGCTTGTTTTTCTTGGCTATTTCCTGAGAACTGCAAAGTCTGGTCACGTAGCATTAGTTTGTTTGTTTTTTAATCTGGAAGAGTTCTTTGCGACTTCAATGTAAAACGTGCCGAAGAAATGTTCCTTTCCAAGGCACACAGCGATACAAGGGTACACATAGGTTTGTATATAGGTAGGAACTTTCTAGCATTATAATTATAGGCAATATAGTCTTTTTAGATTACCTTTCTATAAACTGTTACCGTGTTTCCCCGAAAATAAGACCCTGTCTTATATACAGTATATATGTATTTTGCCACCAAAAAAGGCACCAGGTCTTATTTTCTGGGGAGGTCATCCACTGACTAACCTCAAACCTTTTCGCTGTCAGAGGCCTTCAGGAACTTCTTCTGTGGCTGGCAAGCTTTCCTGAAGGCCTCTGCCGCCAATAACAGAGTTCCGGGTCAATCTGGAGCTTTATTATCAGCTACAGAGGCCTTCAGGAAAGCTTTGCCAAATGGGCCGATGAGGCAGGTGTTGGGGTGTGCGAGGCCTGGCTATAACTGTCCAAAGTTAAGCAGTAGGGCAACTCCACCACCCGCATCCCCACCCTAACTTAATGTTTATCCATGCACCCTGGAGTGGTTGGGGTCTTAATAAGGGCTTATTCAGGGGTAGGGCTTATATTGGGCACATGTGTAAAAATCAAACTAGGTCTTACTTTCAGGGTAGGTTGTATTTTCGGGGAAGCAGGGTATGGACTCTCAGAAATTCACAGAATAGGCGACCTATTCTCAAATCCAGCTTGAAGCTGTCATTAGGCTGGGCTCTGAAACGCTTTCAAAATTCTTTACCAAATTTTTTTAAAAAATTGAATTGGACGATTTCTCCGACTCTCTGAAACCTTCCCCCAGAGATTCATGTAATTTCAACCCTAAGGACATTCAGAAAAATCTTGAAAAACTTGGTGGTTCTCCCACTGCTCGGGACAGAATGGTCACAGAGTTCCCATTGTCTTGGTTTTCTTTTACTGGTAATATGTGGTCTTCTACTGGTTGTCCATCAGCCCGTCTATTCTTTCTTTTAACTATAAATTGTCCAGAGTCATTAAGGAGCTGAGCAACCTTGTAACTGAATTATATAAATGCATGTAAGTTCCTTCCTCAAGCTCAGTTAAAAAATTAGCAGGAAGAGCAATGGGAGGATTTTTCTGCTCAGTCTCAGCATCAAAAGGCAAACCTTGAACTGGCCATGAAAAACTTTGCAAGATGGCCTTAGGCAAACAGTGTCCATAACTTCTTTCTGGACCCATGAACTCCAAATTCCGTTATTCTTTTCCAGAAATGAAACACTGCAATTGGTCTCGTGAGATGTTGACATTTATGCAAGGTCTCAAGATGATGCCACCAGAATTGAGTTTGAACAACCTTGTGAGATTTTAGAAATTGGGAGTGGGAGCTTTGTAAATGAAGCTGACAGCTTCTACAGTGAGACGGAAAAGTTATGGCGTATAGCAGGGGTGTCAAACTCAAGGCCCACAGGCCAAATCCGTGGGGTGCTTAGAACTGGCCCGCGTGGCTGCCCTATAAACAGCAAAGGGCCGGCCCGCAGTGCTACTGCCAGTGAAAACGGAGCTCAGGAGGGCCACATGCAGCCCTCCAGAGATCCCTTTTTGCTGGCAGAGAGCTAGCAAAACAAACTGAAAGCAAAACAAAAGGAGAAATGTTTTTCCTTTTGCATTTGAGCAGGCAAGAAAGGACAGGAAAGGAGACAATGAAAGAAAGAAGGGAAGATGGGAAGAGAGAAAGGAAGGAAAAGTAAGGAAAATGGGGAAGGAAAAAGTAAGGAGAATGAAGAGGAAAGGAAAAAGAAGAAAAAGGAAGGAAGGAAGGAAGGAAGGAAGGAAGGAAGGAAGGAAGGAAGGAAGGAAGGAAGGAAGGAAGGAAGGAAGGAAGGAAGGAAGGAAGATTATAATGAGAGTGAGGGAGGGCCTGAGGGAAGTCCTGCCTTAGCCCTTGGCCACCACAGGTGCCCCCGACATGAGTGATGTTGAGCCTGGCCACGCCCCCCCCCGAGGTCAAACACAACCCTGATGCGGTCCTCAATGAAATTGAGTTTGACACCCCGGCATATAGCATCTTTCTCTTATGCAAAGGATTGAGTGACATACAATTTTAGAGAGATGGTTCAATGTAACTCATTACTTTAATTATCTATCTCTTCATATATTTTTTAACCTATTAAGGATATATATATATCATCAATTCTTCAAAGAATTTAATATGGGAGCAAAATTCTCTTCCACCTTGTGGGTTTTGGGTTTTTTTTTTTTGTTTTTTTAGAACAAGCATGGGACAGTTGCAATGTCCTGGGGTGATGTGCAGTGGTGAGTTTCCAATTTTTTTCCTACTGGTTCAGAAAGCGCGCTTCACGTGCGCATGTGCAGGGCTCAAAGACCGCCTTCTATATCAACTCTGGCGAGCTGTGCACGTGCACCTAACACACGTGTGTCCCTAACATGTGTTTTATGCGCGCACACGCAGGGATAAGAGACCGCCCTCTGTATCAACGCTGGTGAGCTGTGCTGTGTTTTTAGCTCAGCTGAGGCGTGGCAATACGCACTGCCACGCAAATCAGCTGAGCTAATAAAAAGGGGAATGTCAGCTTTGGAAGCCATATTAGCACCAGACGCATCCACACTGCCACATTCCTGAGCCTGGGGAAATGGGAGGGGGGAAGTTCTTGGGAGTGTATATGGTTAGACACAATAGCATCCTTCTTCTAAGTCAAGGTCATGTTATTTCTGCACCTCGTGGAGAGGACGTCTTAAGTTGGGACGGAAGGTGATTGGGGCATGTGATGCGATGATGGGTGCAGGGGGTGGATTTGTAATTTTTTACTTATTGCAAGGAAACCTGGAACTTTCAAATTCGGGATTTCCCAGATGTGCCAGTTTAATAAAAAGAACCTTGGAGAGGATGTCTGTCTCGGAGTTATTTGCTGGAGGTTTTCTGGAACGCTGACAGGGAATATAGAAGTAAGGGTAGGTGCAGTTGGGCAGGGCCAACCAGATGTGGTATTTGTCAATTCTCCGAACTACTCAAAATTTCCGCTACTGGTACACTAGAACCAACCCAAACAGGCTCTGGTCATACGATCACCTTCTGAGATCTTCTGACGAGCAAAGTCAAAGGAAAAGCCGGATTCACTTAGCAACTCAAGAGGTTTCATACCTCCCAACTTACCATACTGTGGCTTGTCCCTAATTGTATAGACGATCGCAGAATCACTGGCCCCGAACATCTCGGCTTGCAGATTTTGGGGAGTGATTTGCAACATGCCTCCTTCTGGGACCCAGACGGTAGAGCTGATAACCAGGCGGGGAATGCCACTGCTCTGCAAAGAAGATCAAACATGCATGAAGTCATTAAATGAAGCGATGGATGGGAGGCACGGTTGGAAGATAAGAATAGCCTGAGTCCTTTGAGTATTCCTAGAACAGAACTTAAGGTGACATCTTAAAACAAGGAACCGGCTGAATTTCCAAGTATAGGCATAGCATTTTATACCGTTGCCCAGAGACCAATTGAATGCTCTAACGGTGGCACTGGATTCTATGAACTTGTCAGGTGCAAGAAATCAAAAGGCAGCATAGAGTTCAAAAGCACTATAATTTTATTTTACATTACGTTCTGCGGGAAGTCCCCACCGCCCACCCCAGAGAATGAAATATTTTTGAGAATATTAAAAGAGGCAGAATGTTATATTTCCCCAAAGGAGAAATGGAGAAAAATCTTAACAGAGGCAGAAAACAGCACCAACAACCTCCAGCTGATACCTATAGTCTTTAGAGATGGATATTTTGTGCCCATTAAGAAATCCGGGCCAATCTATTCATAAACAAAACATCTTCAGCGCCAGCTGATGGGATCAAGAAGAAGACGACATGGCCTTTGGGACATAATAGGATTAACGCCATCACCAATCAAATAATTAAAACACATAAAGCACACCTCAAAAATTACAAAATACTTGTAAACGAGGGGTGTCAAACTCAAATTTCATTGAAGGCCCACCAGGGTTGTGTTCGACCTTTCGGGGGGGGGCATGGCCAGGGGGACGTGGCCAGCTCGATGTCACTCATGTCGGGGGCACCTGTGGTGGCCCTGAGAGTTCTGCCAGTGAAAATGGAGCTCCGTTTTCACTGGCAGAGGCACCACGGGCTGGTCCGCTGTTTCCAGGACACCCCGCGGGCCAGATCTGGCCACAGGCCTTGAGTTGGACACCCCTGCTGTAAACTCACACTCATTGAGCTAATTTATCAGCTGTCCCAGAACTGCATGCTGTTGTTGCTTCTGCTCGTCAATAAACCCTCTTTCCAATCAGCCTCCATTTTATTTCCACTGTCTTTCTCCCGGCTTAGAACTAGACCTGATTTTTCTTTCTACAATGCATTCCCAGTGGAACGGGGCAACTTGCCACAAGCCAACATGCTGCAGCCAACTCTCCACGGCCAACTCACTGTGGGACAATTTAACAATTCTATTTAATTATTTTTTTAAAAAAAACATTATTTTAATTTTTTGCAATTTATATTTCATTCTGTCCCTCTTTTCTGCATCCTTTCTTTCCACTATTTCTTTGATCTTAGTGTAACTCTTGTATCGCAGCGAGGTGTCCTCCACCAAGTTGGCTGCGGAGAGTTGTCCCGCAGTGAATTGGTTGGGACAAGTTGGCTGTGGAGAGTTGTCCCGCAGTGAATTGTCATAGATAGATCCTATTCCCAAAGCACCATTAGTCTTCAAAGATCTAAGTCAAATGGATGAAGGAGACCATAAGGAGATACCTTCTACTGCTGATCAGCTCTTGATCTACTGAAGATCCAGTTCAAGTAATAAAAATGTCACTTTGGGTCTTTTAGAGTCCAGAAACCTTTGAAAATATCCCAAAGGTGCTTTTTCAAAATGCAATTTTTCTTTCTTTCCTTCTTTCCTTCTTTCTTTCTTTCTTTCTTTCTTTCTTTCTTTCTTTCTTTCTTTCTTTCTTTCTTTCTCTTTCTTTTCTTCCTTCCTTCCTTCCTTCCTTCCTTCCTTCCTCCCTCCCTTCCTTCCTTCCTTTCTTTTGAAGATGTTTCACTTCTCTTCCAGAAACTTTTTCAATTCTCCAGAAGGAAAAAAAAAAACAAAGTCCAGTTGCCTTTTGAAAAAGCACCCTTGGGACAACCATGACCTGGATGACTGAAAATCTCCATATACTTTGAAAATGTCCACATTCCAGACTTTCCATTCCAAACTCTGGCTTAACTGTGGACCCAGTTTAGTGGTGCATGAGATTTTCCAACAGCTCATTGTGAAAGGTAATCAGAGCAAAGAGGCTATTTTAAGTTGCAACTCAGTGCAAATCTGCAAAACATGGATGCAGATTAAATCCATTAGACCCCTGTCCTTGATCATTATTATTATAATTAATTTTGCTGTGCTTCTAATTGCTAGAGAATCCTAACGAGCTCGTTGGGAACATTTCTGGATGCTCTTTAAGGCCCGGAATGGTAGGTCAATGAGCTCATTAAAGTAGATTCTTTTACTCAGTAGAAAATAGGGAATCTATTCAAAAATCCATTGTGCTTAAAAGCAATGTTGTACAATCAGTTCACACAGTTACCTTGTTGTATTAAGGGTGAAATCAGAGAGATTTGAGATGTTTTGAACAAACCAGGAAACTTTTGTAGGAGAAGAGCAGGCAGATCCAGGGTGATGGTGGGGTTAAATGTGTCATCAGCTTAGAGTCCTTACATTGCCACAAATGATCCAAGTCCAGCTCCCCTTTAAATTCCTTTGATCCTTATCTGGGGCCAATTCAGATCTGAATGTTAGTTGACTAGATTCTTATGTATAGGGTTGAGCAATAAATCCTTCTGAATTGCAACTTAATTCTGGACATTAATCTCGTTTAACCTACCTCCTAGCTCTTCCTGCTCTTTTACATATTCCTAAGTATATGCAGGGTTTTAAAAGGAGAATGCCTTAGATTTCACAATATTTTTCTTGTAGACTTATCTACAGCTCATTGTTTGAAAGTATCACAGTCCCAGTTTTTTCAGTACCTGTCTGTAATTAAATATAGATCCCATTATTCCTTTTCCAATATATTTTCGGCATGTTTGGAAACAAAATAGTTAAGAAGGTTCCATTTCAAGGTTTGGCAGAGCTCCTTCCTCAGTCCTTAGGAGCTAAACAATCCCTCAGAAGCATCACACTTTTCTATGGCTCAAAAAACAAAAAACCTGTTCTGCAATTAACATGTGAGATCAACAGCAATTAAAAAACGATGAAATAAAAAGGAATAGGCTGTTTAAATCAGTTGTGCAGCAATCTGGCCATAAGGGATGAGTCTGCTTTTCAGAAACAACTCAGTAACACCACACACAGATCGGAGCATGATAAAAGAGAAGATGCTGCAAGGAAACCAAACGCAGATTTGTGGTTTAAATAATATTTATTCGGGGACAGTTGGAAATATAGGTAGTCCTCAATTGATGACCACAAATTGAGCCCCAAAATTTCCATTGCTACACAAGACAGCAGTGAATAACGACAGCACTTAAAATTATGTATCACCCCATAGCAGTGGTGGGATTCAATTTTTTTTTACTACCGGTTCTGTGGGCGTGGCTTGGTGGGCATGGCGGGAGAAGGATACTGCAAAATCCCCATTCCCCCCACACCCCACTAACCTGCTTTCCAGCTCCGTTCTCCTGTGCAGGGCAACAAAAGAACACCCAGCCGATCAGCTGGGACTCTGGAGGCAGAGAATAGATGGGATTGATGGGGCCAGTCAGAGGTGGGTTTGCTGGTTCTCTGAACTACTCAAAATTTCCGCTACCGGTTCTCCAGAACCAGTTAAAACCTGCTGGATACCATCTCTGCCCCATAGCGTTTACAGCATTCTCTGAGCGATTTACAAATGTCAGCATACTGCCTATTGTATTGTATTGTATTGTATTGTATTGTATTGTATTGTATTGTA